GCCGGCACCGACCGCTCTTCTCCACCCCCACCCCTCCGCCCGTCTATTCGCACCCACCTTCCTCGACTGCCTACCTAATGCACCGGGGCTCCGTCCCGCCCCCTCGGCCTCTTCTTCCCGGGTGTCTCTGGAGCGCCTCACCCGGCCCTCTTCAGCTTGCTCCTCTTCTGACCCTGACCTTGGTGACAACTGGGGGCCCACCTGGAGGGGCTCACCTGACAAGGCTAGGAAGGGAGGAAGGTGTAGGACCAAGCGCCCGAGGAAAGCAGGGGAAGAGGCTGTGGTTGAGAGGTGGAGGTTGGGGGTCTGCCCCGGAGGGGTCGGCGACGCTCCGGGCATCAACACAGCCCGAAACCACCCAGGCAGGGTCTGCCCTCCGATGAGCTCCTATCATGAGGCTGCGAGCAACCTTTCTACCTGTCTCCACTTGTGCCTGCACGGGAACCGGTGCCTTAGTTGGTTGGGAATTAGCCTGTTAACCTTAAGGTCCCAGTCGGGACCCCAAAGCAGAAAGATGCAGTTTTTCTGCTCCCTCGATCACTCTCGGGCTACGGTCTCCGCTGGACTCTAGGCACGGTGGGTTTTCACCCTTTCACCTCGGGGTATCTTGTCCTCCCTGCCTCTGCCCTGCGGGTAGCTGACTTTGGTCTGGGTTCTCATCAGCTGCCCCAGCCTATCTGTGCAGGGGCGAGCCTCCAATCCCGCCAAGGGTTGGTCCAGACCCCAGTCTCACCCCCAAGCATGCCAGGCTCTCTTTCAAAAGCTCCCAGGTGACTTAATGTGCACCCCAGGTTCAGGGGCCCTGGCATACATTTGTTAGCGATAGGGAGTCACTGTCCACTTTCAGGGCAGCCATGCAGCCGCAGTTTGTCATCTCTGTGCTGATTCCTGTTTTCTCTCTGGGTTTCTGTTTGTCTGGAGTGATTATTGATTTACCTCTCAGGATCTGTCTCTAATAAGCCCTGGTGGCCAAGTGGGTTACCATGGGCGACAGTTTGAAACCACCGGCCACTCCATGGGAAAAAGAGAAGGCGTTCCACTCCTGAGAGCAGCTATCAGCTCAGAAACCCACAGGGGCAGTTCCACCTTGTCCTATGGGGTGGTGATGGGTCAGTCTGTCTGTCTGTCTGTAAAGGAGCCTTGGTAGCACACTGAGGGATGCATTGGGCTGCTGACTGAAAGGCGGTGGTTCAAACCCACCAGTCACTCTGTGGGCGAAAGATAAAATTGTCTGTTCCTGTAAAGATTGGCAGTCAAAGACACCTTCTACTCTGTCCTATAGGGTTGCTTAGAGGGTTTGGTCTGATATATATAAGGAGCCCTTATAGCACAGTGTTTAAAACATTTGGCAGCTAATTGTAAGGTTCAAAGTTCAAGCCCACCGGTTACTTCCTGGGAGAAAGCTGTGGCTGTCTTTTTCTGGATTTCCACGGACTCATAGCTTTGGAAGGGCAGTTCTATCCTGTCCTGTAGGGTTGCTATGAGTTGGAATTGACCCAGATTTGGTTTGGGGTTTGGCTCTGTCTCTAGCTGACCATTACCCTTCACTTGCCGACCATTCGGCCATATGATCGTTCAACACCACATCTCACTATAATGATATGTTCGTTTCCAAACTCTCATTGAGCACCTACTATGTGCCAGGTATTTTGTTAGGTGCTGAGGATGTAGCCGGGAATAAAACAGGGATCCTCGTGGACAAACAGACATAGAAGGCAGCAGGTGAGGAGTCCTGGGAAGGAAACCGGGAGAGAGGATGGCAAAAAGTTAATGGAGGCGAGGCCTGTGTGCATGGCTACCCCTGGAGCCCAGAGCCTGGCGGCCAGGGGTGCACGTGGCAGAAGCAGCACGCGCAGCCTCGTTTCATTGCCTGGGCCCCCAGGGCCAGCCGTGCTCGGTGCCCCACGGGTCAGGCAGGCGGCCCGGGGTCCG